GTACAATATTCTCAATTTTTTTTTTCAAATTGATAGCAGATGAGGTGAAGAGTTTTTTTTTTGATTGGATGAGCCACTCTTGGCCTTAGAGACCTTTACAGATCCGACAGACATAGGTGGCCGGGCGCTCGGGGCACCTAGCCTGAACCTCGGCATATTATTATTACGGTGTTATGGTGACTAAGCTCGAGGGCTCCCGAGGTTCCCTCGGCTCGGGCCGTCATGCTATTAGTTTCACCGATTTGGGAGGCCACAGAGCTCTTAGGGCGCTTTGGCGGACGCTCCATGGAGTGACTAGGCTCAAGGGTCCCCGAGAGGGTACCTCGGCTTGGGCTGTCACTCAACACGCGTTTAGCATTCCGATTCGAGGGTGCCCGAGAGGGCCGGACCTCGGCTCGATCGGTAGCTATTATCTGGCTGGGGGAATTTCTAGATCTAACATTATTACCACTTAGGAAAGCGTTGGTGCTGGGAGAAGAAGTTGCGGAAGAAACTCCAGCAACGCTTCTATCATTAATGGAGGAAAACCTGCCAGGTACGTGGCGGAATCTAGTATATGTTTGCCACACTCGCCGGCGAGCGCGGTGTGTGTGGATGTGCTTTCTAAGTTTTTTAATCCTTTCGATGGCGATAGTCGTCTCATCCTCAGGGAAGTCGAGAACATGTCGCGGTCTGCGGTAGACGCGGCGGAACGTGTTTAGCGGTAAGGGTCTGTAGGTGAAGGCACCTACGATTAGCGCCATGTAGGTCGATGTTGCGCATGAACCAGTTTGCTCCCGTGGCTCTGCGCAAGAATCGATTCTGAATGACCTGAAGCCGGTGTATTTGCTTTGGAGCTATGTGAGCGAAGACGGGGCTCGCGTACGTCATGATAGGGTGAACTACTGCCTTGTATAAGGTCACCTTGTTCCGAAGGGACATTTTTGACGTTTTATTGAGGAGCGGGTAGAGGCGACTGAGTACGAAGGCCGCCCGGTTCCTGAACTGGGTCACGTGCTGGGTGAATTTAAGCTGGAGGTCGAGGACGACGCCTAGATATTTGACTTTATTAACCCATGGTACTCAGGTGTAGGTATTAATATTCGGTAATTAAGTAAAGGAAGAATACTGCAAGTGGTTCATATTTTAATTAATCTTTTACTTTATCATGAACTGTTAAAAGCACCGTTCTCTGCAACGGTATAAGATTTTTAGTGGTCTTGTAACCCATTTCTAGCATGAGGACTTAATTACTGACGATATAAAGCTTAAAAAGGTTTAAAGTTAATCAAGAAAGGTCCTTTCTTGTATATATTTTAACCACTAAACTTAGTCCAATTCAACCCCAAAAAGAAACAAGTTTGCGCGTTAAACGCTAAAAAGTCCCCATTTGCCATAACTCCTCATTTCAAGAACACTCTCCTGTCTGCCATAGCTAGTATCGGAATTCTTGGCGTCGAAATCTCGAGTAACGTCCAGTTCCGCGGTCAATTGGAAGGTAAGGCAAGACATCTATAAGGCGCAAATTCAGCCCCACGTGGAGTACTGTTCTCACCTTTGGGAGGAAGCACACCTATTACCAGCTTCTTCCATTTGACCGCATTCAACGTAGGGCGGCTAGGGTTATCGACGATCAAAATTTTTTCGATCGGAATTGACCGACACCGAGCCAAAGCTGCGTAGAGATGTTGGATCACTCTGCATCTTCTACCGCATTTATCACGGGGAATGTTCCGAGTAGGTTTGGATTGATCCCGGCGGCTGAATTTCACTATCGGACATCGCGCCAGAACCAGAAATTCCATCCACACCACAAAAAATTTCATGAACAACCACTCTGGGGAACCAGCTGCGCGCCGGTGGTCTTTGCGAATCGTTACGACCTGGGAACCTTCAAGAAGAGAGCATACTCTTAGTTTTTTTTTTACTTGGTTAAGAGTTCGGCAACGCATTCGAGAGCCCTCGACTTTTGCAGGTGTTCATGGGCGGCGGTATTAACTTAACATCAGGTGAACAGAATTCCATGGTTAACTTCAAAGCGTAATAAATGTGTTGAGGTTATTTTTAAAATTGGTTTATTTTGTGATACCCACCCGTCCAAAAAGTATATTTTACGAGATGCGCCTCATCATTGAACATAATTGATACAAGTTTGCATACAAATTGATACAACAGCCCATTGTTGAACTTAATTGATACGAATACAAATACATCCTTGGGTTGGCTGCAAGAACTATAGGTTTACATATATTATAAATGATATTTTATACTACACATATTTTATAAACGAAACCGAAGTGAAGCCACGAAAACGTGCCAATTGGGACTTCATGTCGTCTTGAGTTCATGGCATGGAGGTGAGTTAGATGCGGTGTCCAAAATTTTACAATGATAAAAATGTCGTAGTGCGGCTTGGTACATATTTAATTAACAAGTACGACTATAAAGGTAAAAAATTCAAGGGATCTCATATCATGTGCTTACATGCAGTGTATCTTTCCATATATTTAAATTTGAGTAGGAAAACACAAAGAAAGAGACAGCAGATAAATTTAGTACGGGGACAAGAAATGAATGCACCTCGAGATTTTTTTATACTTACGCTAAAGTATACTTGCCGTCCTCTTTTTTATTATTGATTTAATTACGCGTAAACGTGTGAATGTGGGCTGTTATTCTGTTTAAAAATAGGGACAATTTCGACCCGTGTAAACTGCATATTTTATTCTTTTGCATAGTATTTTTTTTCTCACCAATTTAAATAGTATTAAAGGTGTCCTTTTATAGAATTCATTAGTTTCCTTTTGGTAGGGCTAACACTTTGGTAGGGCCACGCAGCAGCCTCGGCTGTTACACGTACAAAAGCTTCAAAAATAAATTAATATAAATTCAAATCTATAATATGGCCGTGTGTATTTGAAATTGAATATGTCACTGTCATCTATTGTCATACTTATTGACGTGATCAACATAAAGTAACTCTTTACTGAATGTATAGTGTATTTATATGATAATATTTCTTATACATTGTTGTATTTTTTTTTATTTGGAACCCATGTTTTATTTACCTGTAAGTAAAGTAAACTAACAGCCTATACATGTGCCACGGCTGGGCACAGGTCTCCTCTATACAGAGGGTATTTACGTGTAAAAACATATAATAAACATGCTTGTTTTTTTAATTAATTTATTTTTATATATCCTGTTTTCTTTTTTTTTAACTTTTGTCCCGTGACAGCACTGAAATGATTCCGCCTGAAAACCGGTTCTAAGATCTTAGGACCTTAATGTTTTATGCTGAGGCGGAACCTTCTAATGTTTTTATAGGTGTAGTTTTTTATATGTTTTCTAACGTTTTTTATATGTGTAACGTTTCTCATTTTTGTACATCCTTCTGTTTTTAATTTCTTTTTTATGTTGTTGTGTGATGTTATGAATGAATGATTTCTATTCTATTCCATATAGTTTTACAAATATGAAATTGAAACTAAATTTATTTAAATGATTTTAGTACCTTTCTTGTAAATGTCATGTTGATACTTTAAAGCACATTAGCTTTTAACGATTAATTTGCTGCACGGGGAAAGTCCAAGTCGTTAAACTACAGGGAGGCTTTTTTAAAGGTGCCCAAATTTACACAGGAGGTTCAGACTCGATACTATAATCGTTTATTGAAAAAAAAAAACTTGAACTTGTTGACAACGCGGTAGTTATTCATAAATACCTAAATTTTACTATTCCCGCACGCAAACGAAATTGCGTGCGGAGCGTGTTAGTTATGAATGTTTGCACATAAAATAAATGAGTTGCGTAAAAATCACGCACTTTTTAAGATAAGTTGAAATGAATGTTATTAATTGATTAATTAATTACTAACAAGTGATTTAAAATATTTATCATTTTCTATATAACATTATTGTGTAGACTGTGTATATGTGTAGACTTTAGTAAAAAAAAATGGATACACTTAGAAATGCCTCCCTGTATATTAGTAATAACAGAATAGCCTGTTGCCACACAGAAGAGAAATTTTAAAAAGAATTTTAAAATGTTCGGATGACGAAATGTAGAAAAGATATTAATAAATAAATACCCGAATCCGTTCTTTTTGTAAAAGGATTCAAACGAGAAAGCACTTGATGGTTATTAATCACTGCCGCCCATCGGCAAACGTAACATCGGAGGTTGTTACAAATGTGTTACTGGCCTTTGGGGTAGATATAGGCTTTCTTCTTGAAGGTCTCCAAGTTGTCCCAGTTCGGAAATACCGCTGATTACAACTGATCGTCGAAGTGGTAGTGCTTGACGGAAAATTAAGTAACAAACCGTGGCGGAATGTCAATTATAAAGGTAGTATGCAGTTGGTAAATTAATATTTGATTTTTCTTGTATTAAAATCTATAGTTTTTATTGCAAATAAAAAATACCAATTTTAATAACTTCTTAGGCAGCTCAGGCTTTTGTTAATTTCAGGCTCTAATTGTATACGTAAATGAAATATAATTCTTTCGTAATGATTGTTATTTTTTTATTTGAATGTGTTTAATGTCGTTTTAAAGTTTATAAGCGAGTAATATGCAATTATTTGCAGCTTCACTTATCCAGCTGGCCGGAATGCCATGAAAAATCATTGCGTTCATAATGTCGGAACTTTATGACGGAAAATTATTTTCATTACTGCTACTGGGTGCATTGCTGGAACTATCACATAAATTTGTTTTAACTTCATTGGGTTTTAAGGAAATATTTTATTTCATAATACTATTTTCATCTCTGCTTGCATTAAATGGTTTTTAACAACAATTTAGATTTTTCATATATTCGTTTACATTTTATTGAGTTGATTATTTCCAAAATCTGTAAAGAGAATCTTTGTCCGATACATTTTCATTTCTCTGCATGAGAAATAAGCTGTCATATAAAATTGTTCTTATGCGAAAAAAATAAATATTTTTATATATTTTATTAAATCACAAACAACAAGAAATATCAAAATAAAAACACAGTGTAAAAAGTCTCACCCTGTAATTGGAGAGATGATTCACAACACAAGTGAAATGTACGTCTCGGCCTTGTGTGACAGTGTGGTTTTCCAACTCTTGTAGAAATTCCGGTTCTAATTCGGCTTGGATGGGCATTTCACCTAAAGTCATGAACAAACCTTTTAAAATTGTGCGATGAAAAGTGGTAAAAACTCACGAAAGACATCGAGCTTGCTAAATAATTGATGTGTATAATTAAAGCTTTTATCACAGTTACGTCTTTTAAGGAGATGATTGGACGTTTGTATGCTACTACTATGGTGGTTTTCGTGTTGGTAATCACATCACTATTGATATTATAAATAGCAGTTTATGCCAGAACGCAATACAATAAAGAAGAATACCTGTGACAAAAACCGTCAAAAATGTCGCCAGCCACCAGGCCGCCTTTGTCGACGGTGCAAACATGTGTTATCCGATCACTGTTCTGTAACAAATTTAAGAACATATGATATACACATATTTTAATAACACATTTATATAATCAGACTTTTTTTTTACTTTTTGCTATAAATTCTTAGCATTCCGAAATTTTTAGTAATTAAATATATATGTAAGTATAATCCAAAGGAATATTTATATAAAAAACATTTATCTAGATTTATCGCACTTTTTATGAAATCAATAAATAATACTGTCAATATATTGCTCGCGGTGTTGGCTCAACTTCATTTCCAATAATCATACAAATCAACATTCAATACTCTGCAAATAGCGAGGAAAAACATTGTGAGGAAATATGCGTATCTAAAAAGCACAGAGCCTACATGGTTAGCTTTTTCCTAATAACATACTACTGAGTTAGATGAGTCTGCCAAATGGGCAAGCAGAAACTGTTTTTGCACAAATGGGTAGGCTGATCCAGGAAAATACCGCCGCCTTGCATTAGACTGGTCGATGGTCGACTGGTCGAAGGACCGCTCGTAACAAGGTACGCAAAGCGTATTCATTTTTTATTTGACGAATAAAATATTTATACGTACACCTTTCATGTATGATATATAGTGATAATATCAAAGACACCGAGGGAAATACTGCTGTGGATTTGAATCGGGAAAAGGACGCCGTTTCGCGCCCTTGGGAAAACGTTCCCACAATATATTCAAATGACAAGGAAAATTTGTCGATAACCATATTCATTTCCCGAATAAAGTCAAAGCGAGCGGTTTTCGTAAGCAATCATGGAACAAAAACGACTCGGAGGGCACGGGACCCGCAAGATTCAATTACCGACACGCTGACACGGCGTCAAAACTTCGACCGTAGGCCACTTCTCAGACGCATTCGAGTAACGTAGAAATAAGTCAAGAAGGAACCGAAAAAAACAGTTGAAAATATTCATAAAAATGATAATAATATTGTTATCTAACTTGTGTTATAAATTTGAATAAATTAAAAAAAATACGGCTCTGAAATAAAATTTTAAAATGTTTTTCCAGAACAGGCATAAAAAGTACTGGAACAAAAATTATAGCTTTTATCAGTATTTGTTGAAGGGCCGCGACTATTTTTCTTCTCGAAAAATATTCGCCGGCGCGTTAATTTTGTGAGGCCTTTGTTTCACGCGTGCTTATTGTATTGGGTGGTTGTTTTTTTAATTGAGCCCAGAAAGTTAAGGCAAATGTTTCTTCTTTTAGTGGTATCGCAAGAAAAAATAATAATATATACATGTATATACGAATAGAGGATAATTAAATTTATCTCTGTGATTCTGTAATAAAGGATTTTGTTCTATCAAAAGCTTACTTCTTCCCAATGACGCATTTTTTGTGTTTATTTCTTTGCATCTTTCTTCGGGGTAATCTCTGAAAAAGGCAAAGTTTGTCGGATTTTCAGGGACGGATGTTTAAATAGTAATTTGGATTCTTTCAGTAACGGGTCTGTATTTTGAAAGTTTCGGCAGTTGTCATATACATATACCTACCTAAACATTACCAAGTAAGTGTTGGAGTAACTTCCTGAAATTTTGATAATATTTTAAGGGCTAATGTGATTTAAATTTATGTTTATTTATGGATATGCTGCGCAAATGAAGTATGTACTGATGAATGACAGGGTGACATACAAGGCAGGGCCCAAACTGCTGCGTTTTGAAATTTGATTTTGTTAATAGGTCCTTTAATATAGAATTAAAATTATATATTTAATGTACTAGAAATAATTGCTTATTGAAACCGACCCCAATTTGTACTAAATATGAATTTTCATTAAAATTTCATGACGATCAATAATTCGCGGATATAATCTATTAAATTATACTACAATTTTTTTTTATTTAAAAATTGTCAATGTTTTCGTATTCTTTTCTATTTGTATTCTGATGTAAAGTGACAATCATCGAGTTGTTAAGTTCAAGCTTTTGATTTTTTCAGTTCGGCTGGTACTTTTTTACGAGAAAAGCTAGCAAGCGAGCAGGTGGTTCACCTGATGCTAAGTGATCACCACCACCCTAGAATATCTAGAACACCTGAAGGGTTGCATAGGCGTTGTCAATCATTAAAAAATGGGTCTCGCTTACCGCACTCACCAGAAAAAACGTGAAAGTGTAATACTTCTACCACAAGCCGGTCTTCTGTGAGGTCGTGTTCTTCTCCGGATGAGCCTGCCCATTCGTGCAACAGCAGATGCTGCTGATTGGCAATACCGCAGTTCTGTGTAATTAATTTTACAATGTTGATTGTGGTTAACATTCTTATTTGATTTGGATACCGTAATTATGTTAACATTAAAAGCTCCTGTATCAGCCGGGAATTTACAAGTGCTCGCGTATTGTCAAGTATGTGAATTAATATACAATTAAATAAAAAAATAATGCTTTTTTATAAAATTATGTGCATTTCTCTATTGGAACATGAACAATAAATAATAGTAATATATATTTCAGGACACATTTATATACAACGCCCCTCTAAGTCCCCAATCTAAGCAACGCTTGTACTATGGGTACTAGATAACCGATAAACATATACATATTTTTCTTTTGTAAATAAATTCATATTATAAATATTTATACACTCTGACATTGGAAAAATACTATGATAATCACACAATATTTTTCCAGTAGTAGGTATCCACACCCTTTGGTACAAGGGACAGGCACTACCGACTAGGTGAATCGGATCAATTCGAATACCGATAACATAAAAGTTTATACTTGTTCACGGTAAACTCCACCTTGTACTGATAATTATTTTACAAACGTAAGTAGTTCTACCCGATCTGAACAGAATTCAGTCACTATGGTCCAATAAATAAATATCCCGTGTGGTCAGACCCCTTGAGAACTAATTGCAGCTCTATCTATATTAATGGCTGAATACCAACATTTGGATCACTGTAAATTTCCTGTAAAATCCAATCCTAAACCTTAATGTACGATAATCATTTATCAGTATCACACTGAATTACTAAATATTTACGAGTGTGATGATAATAATTATTCTGTGGTAGGCTTGTTTTAAGATGGCCGTTCTGTAAGATAAATATAAATACTGTATAGTAATACTTAACGGGATGTACAATTTTATTAGAGTACCTATATATGTATACAGTAGTATATTTAAGCTTTATATTAGTTTGAAATCATAACAGTAGTTCTAACTAATACAATTAAAAATAAATAATATATCTAGGTAAGAAAATCTAAAAATAATTTTAGATAAAATCAATTAGTTCATTTCGCTTCTTAAGATCTAAGAATAACCGAAAAGGTAACACAACCAAAATTGTTAGTAAATAATAACTCTGTGATACTGTATACGGCCGTTAAGAAACAATTAAATATTATACGACGATTAACAAAATTTAAGTAGTAAATGTCGACTAGTGTGTTATTATAATTTCTTGACAATTAATATGTTTAATTATTTTTCTATGGATTTTCTTACGTATCATTTAATTTTAAATAGCCAAAGCTTCGAATACTTTTTTGTATACACATACATGGTTGCGGGTAGGACCGAGGTATTTGACGCGTTAATTATAGTCATTTTACTTTAATGAATGTTTTCACACAACCCGTCTAGAATATTATTAATTATGGTCTGACCTATGTAGCAAGTTTTGACTGTATCTTGAAGTTTTGCAGTGGTGGTGAGCTTGGGCTTTTGATAAAGTTTTATTTAGGGATAAATTAAATTTATAGTCCTGTTACTAAAAATTATTAGATTACAAGTCAAGATCACAAACCATTACACGTATAAAAAGTAGAAATTAAAGATTTAAAAGTAAGGTGTACTATTGTGTATTATTTGTTATTATACTAGCAATATTATTTGTTATATAAACTATTGTACACACTTGCTGACTCAGCTGACAGAATTCGTTTAAGATAATTGATTGAATCGTTATTATAATTAAAGTGATATTAATTACAGAAAGCAATAATTTTTTTTCGGTAATTTAACGATACGCGCATTATTGAACGATTTATAGCGAGAACCGCTTGTTAACGAGACCGTTAAATTGACTCCAGTTATCATTTCCTCACTTTATAGCGCGAAAAATTGCCAGACTCGTACATCGTGTTGTAGTAAAAATTGGCGAATAACGAAGGTAACGTAGTTACTTAAATTTTTGAAACGTTTCCTGTGTTCCTAATAACACAATACGCAAAACATTACGGACGCTCTGTGATATAGCTATCATGTTTAGATCAGAAACACAAAGACCCGTGGGTCAGTGTCACCGTCGGGTGCACCGTGCGGTATTCGCCCACTGACAACTTGTCACCTACTACCATTATTCATGACCACAATTTTCCACGTGTCTCCAGCAGCCTTCCACGTATGATAAATATGCGTTTATTTTTAAACCATAATCAAAATAGTTTTTATAACTTCTGGGTGACAACTTCAGAAGTATTCATTAAATTTAAATCAATAAATTCAATGAAAACAATTGATCTGATTAGTATTATTTTTTTTCATTTCTTTTGCGCGACAAGATGAATTTTAAATTGTTTATTGATGATAGATAAAAACTCGCGTAAATTTACAATGACATCGTTAATGCTTGCATTTAGAGGTTTCACAGGACTATTCTCAAATCGTTCATCGTAAAGTTATTTAAAAATATTTTTTATTTTTATTAAAATATTGCCTAGCCATTAAACAACGATTAATGCTATGCAATATTTTAACTAATAAATAATCAAAACTTAGAAATAAACTACCATTTCGCTATTTTTCAATGGCATAATAGTGGATGGACTTAATTTACCGGGCACCAAATAAGATGGATTAACTGTCACTGTGGCTTATATGCCCTTTGGATAAGAAATCCCATATAACCGCGTTGAACAGAAGTTATAACAGCTAAATTATAGACTTATTTCTGTTTTGAAGTAAGGTTTCACGCTACGTTAAAAATTATAATCATTTTAAATGAATTAAACCACGCGAGTAAAA